ATAGTAAAACTTACCGTTAATGGTATGTTCAGTTGGGTTTCCGAGATTGACTGGTTGGGTATAATTGGAATCCATTAAGGCAATCAATCCATTCACTAGATCAGACACATACTGAAATGAACGTGTTTGATTACCTGTACCATATACCTAAACAAAAGTTWAAAAAATTGGAAAAATAATTTACAATTAATTAGAGCATATTATATTATAATGTATTTCTAACCGTAATCGGCTCATCTCGAAGTGCTTGTAATATAAAGTTGGAAACTACCCGTCCGTCATTCATATGCATTCGAGGCCCATGTGTATTAAATATTCTGGCAACACGAACAGATACTTTTTCATGTTTTGCATATGCATAACTCAATGTTTCTGAAACTCTTTTACCTTCATCATAACAAGCACGTGGACCTAAATCACACAAAAATAATTATAGTTATACTTAAGCTTAGAATGTAATGCGTTAAAAACAATATTTGAAATTATTAGTCAGTTAAAAAATTAAACAAATAATGAGATCTATATTTTAAAAATATACACAATTGTGTGAAAAGCTACACARTATGGGAAAATAGAAATATGCATTTAATATTTTTGGATTACGCTTATATATTTAAAAATACTAATATTTATCAAATCTAATTTGCCATAAGATTCTTTCAAATAAATATGCTAACTGCTATCATCAAGTAACAATCATATAATAAAAATTACTAAACAATATTGAATACAAACCAATTGGATTGACATGCCCCCAATATGTTTCAGGTTGTGGGTGTACTTCAGGATCACCATAGACTTCAGAAGTGCTTGCAATCAAGACTTTAGCACCTACTCGTTTTGCCAGTCCTGGAAAATAATTAGACTTTRGATAATTCAGAAMAGTATATTTTTTTAGTATTATCTTATTTATACTAGTTCATAAAAAATTAAAATCGCTAAGATGTATAAATAGTAAGCTACAAAAAAAAAATCTTTAGGATTTAAAAAAATAAAATATCTCAYATACATATTTGATGACCTAGATTAATATATTATGCATGATGAATATAAGAGTATATTCTAAGAGAAACAGTATTATTAAAAATAATTATTGATTGTGCTACAATTATTAGTAGCAGTTATATTTGGACCATTTGTGAAAATATACATGTGTTCTCTTATCTTACAAACTAACAACCCAGAAAATTTGAGTTCAGAAGTTTTAATTTTGTGTAAACGGCTTTAAATTTGATTAAATTAATCAATTATAAAGTTTAAAGGAAGGAACATTTTGGCTATTATAATATTTTAATTTCTAAGTGAGTCATTAGTATTTAAAATATTGAAATTTTGAAATATAATAACCTTAAGCTTAAAAATTAAAATGTTGAACAAAATTAACGTGAGAACAAATATAATGTTCTTACCTTAAAATTGATAGTAGAATAGTTCACTAAAATATTAAAGCCAAAAATACAAAATTGTAATGACTGAACACAAATTTGTATGTTGTAAATTTGTAAAACAGAGATTACACTTGCGGATGTAGTATACTAATATCCCATTAAAAATTCTATATAATAACTAAAACTTAAGTCTACATTTTAAAACTTTGATTATTTTTAATTAATGCACAATATAACCAAGAAATATCTAATTATGTTGTATTTTTTTTAATTGTATTAGAATTTATAAATTATTTAACATTTGTTTCTCTTTTTTATTCTAGATACTTTTAAACAATGGATTTTTTTTTTTACAAACCTAACATATTAATTGTTCCTATTGTATTAGTCTTAATTGTTTTTACTGGGTTGAACATGTAATGTGGAGGTGATGCAGGTGAAGCTAAATGATAAATCTCATCTACTTCAACAAAAAGGGGATTGACTATGTCTTGATGAATTAACTCAAAGTTAGCATGACCAATCCACTGTTCAACATTTGCTTTAACCCCCGTGAAAAAATTGTCTACAACAGTAATGTCATGACCCGCTTTCATYAATTTATCAACCAAATGGGATCCAACAAAACCAGCACCACCAGTAACCTGGAAAATAATAAAATAATACAATTTAAAAATGGTAAATTCTTTTAAAAATCACGATAATATTTATGTATCAATCATAATAATATTTTTATCTTACTAGAATACGTTTTTTTGAACGGTAGTTTAAATATTTGACATTTGGATAAGGCTTTTTGATACGTTCTTCAAACCCTTGCATCTTGTTTTCAAGTTGTTCTATTTTYTCATTTGCGGTAGCGAGGTCCCTTTTTAGCTTATTAATAAGATCTATATTGTCTTCAGATTCAGCAGTTCCAAAAATCTGAAACTCCTTTTTGTTTGATACTTGAAATTCATGTTTGGATATATTATTATTTGATATAAAACAATAGATAATTCCTGAAATAATAATTAAAATATAAATAATAATTAATAATAAGTATGGTTTGAATTCAAATATTTTAACTTTCATTTAAACTAAATATTTAATAATGTGTTTTTTATAAAAACCAGTACCTMACCATACCTATGCTGTATAATTAATCCACAAATAAGAAAATGGAAAAATTATATTTTGTTACATTTTTCTATATAAATTTTGATTTATATGTTGATAAATGTATCATAATAAAAGATAAAAACTGCAATTAACAGAATAAAAATATATTATTTTAGTCTTAAAAAACTTTAAGCTAAAAAACAAAAAATAATTGAACATTTTATGATAAGTTTAATATTACATTTGTATAAGTAAATATTAACTGTTTATATTAGTTTAAATAGATAAAACTAATTTCATCTGCATTCAATACCTAAGAAATAGGACTAATATACAAAAGTTTTACAACAATGACACAATAGATATAAAATAAGCTGATAAGTACCTAAATCTAACAAAAAAACAAAATTATAATTTTCACTTCAAAAGCTAGTTTGCTTTCCAAAGAACAAAAGAGTGGATCCAAGTCTTTGATTACGATAGCGGAACAGTAAAAAAGCAGAAACGACCACAGAACATTTTTCATAATTTTAATTATTATTGTCACTCAAAAATKYGATACAGATKCATAATATTATGAATCATAGACTTACCCAACAAAAGCAGGCTACTGCCTATTACCAATGCCAGGAAAACATTTATGCGGATCAACATTTGATGTCTGTACTTGGACGGGTCCGATAGGAACATAATGATATAACAATCATTATTGGTAGTCAAAATTTTTACTGCTAAAATTTGTTATCGTTACCATACGCAAATAAATGGCGGGGGGGGACGGTGTGTCAGAATGAACGTCGACGGCCGACGATAAATTATTTATTATAATAATTAATTATCATTTACATTTTTCATTTGTTATCCGTCAACTGTCAAGCCATCATAAATTTTAAGCCACCAACGGTTATTAGATATACTTTAATGCGTTCACACTTGTTTGATAAAATAGTTTTGAGGTAATGTGCTATATAATTAATATTAATAATAATTATGTTGAGACCGATTTAATTTTTTATTATTAATTATTAATTTATTAATTTTATTATCATTATCACAGTCAAACCGACAACATGCAAAACATATGTCTAGCGGGTGAAATGATAACTGATAACCGGTCGGAGATAGCCCTGATGATATCTCTTATCTAGTATTCTACCACAGAATTTAATTTGATTCTACCACGAACTACATACGCCCTTCACAACCTTTTCTTCATCAATGCCCGTTTAAAAACCTCTCTTGGAACTCTGTCGTAGACCTTCTCTAGATCAATAAAAATCATACGTAATTTCCTTTTTTTTCTCTCTATACTTTTCCTCACTTGTTTTACAGAAAATATCGGCTCCATTGTCGACTTGCCGGGCATAAAACCAAACTGATGTTTTGAAACAGATGCCTCATCTCTTATTCTTAAATCAATTACTTTTTCCCAAATCTTCATATTATATAGTATGACTCATAAGTTTTATTCTTCTATAGTTTCCACATTCCTAAATACCTTTTTTTCCTTTGAAAATTGGTATCACATAACTCTTTCTCCATGCGTCTGAGAATTTTCTTCCGACTAATAACCTGTTGAAGAACCTCGTCAACCTATTTACTCCTAATCTACCTATAGCACTTTTCAAGCTTCTTCTAGTATTCCATCTAGACCAGCGCTTCTCAACCTGTGGTACGCKGAAAGCTCGTAGGTGGTACGTGAAGAAAATCTACCTTTATAAAAAATTAATTTATTAACGAAATTCTATACATAGGTAACACATAAACGTATACATTATTAATAAGCGAAAAAATTGTCAGGTGGTACGTAAAAATTTTCAAATTGTGTAGGTGGTACGTGACTATAAAAAGGTTGAGAACCGCTGCTCTACGGTAATACCTAAGACCCGTATCGACTCAGCTGCAGTCCGGGAAACAATTAAAACAGCGGATATCAGAATCAAGAAAAGGGCCCTTTTCAGGGCCATCGCCTTATTTTGACACAAAACTTAGAAAAGTTGTTCGTTCCGAGCCAGGTTTGCCGTCGGGATACCGCTTTACCCTAACCTAACCTACTGACGACGGCCATTTGGTAAATACYCGACGAAACCCAAGCACCTCTGATTGTGTCGACTCACTTATTTTAAGTCCGATCGACACAAATCGACGCTTTACTCAGCACATGTATTGTAAATAAATAAATACATTTATTATTATTAAGATTATAATGTATAAAAATGAAACAATGAATTTATTCTTAAATTTTGTTTATATTTTAAATTTTAATTGTCTTTTATTACCTAGGTACCTAAAWATATTAAAATTATATGTTGAGCTCATACTGTACAATATCCTACACAAACAACTGGGTTCTTTGATGTTTAAAATAACAATGGGAAACTTTTTTTTCGCTCCAAGTTAAATATTGACAAAAAAAAAATGTGTTTTCAATGAAAAAAAAAAAAATAACAACGTATTATTTAAGATTTACCTTTTTAAAAGTAACTTGAAGCTGATATACGTATAAAAAAATACAATAGGCACCTATGTATAATAAAACATGTGTGTAGTATGCTTAAATACTTAGATAGGTACTTTATTATTTATATAAATATTAAATATATTTAATGTAAGACAATACTTTTGAAACTAAACYYAGTCTCCTATGATAATTTGCCATCAAGAATTAAGATAAACTGAGTTAAATCTCATATTAGGCAAAGTATGGCACTTCTACAATACMCAGTGCTCCCTACTTTTTCCAAACATTTGTATGGAAACTATGTGATGAAAAAAACAAATAGGGGAGACCGAGATRTAATGAAATATGAGATGCACTTATACATCGTTTATATTACACCTAGTTTCTGTTAATTTGAATAGGTAGTTTAATTTGACGAAGAAAAATGTTTAACCAGCATTATTGTACGATGTCTTACAAGTGGTACCTACGACATACCCATGGTTTAAGATGGATAGATTTTCTTAGGTTTCCATCACGGTGGATTGTATTTAATCATAAGATTCGTCTTAAAACGTTGTAGAACCGCAATGGCAGCTTGATAGTGAATATTATCAATGTTCATAGTTTTAGAATATCAATAATTCACAATCAATTCTAAAAAAAAAAAAATTATTTATGAATTATTATCTATGTAGACCTTTTACTGATAACGTTTTCCACCACATCGCACAATAAATTATTATAATAATTAAAAATTGCACCAGCCACCAATAAGGTGGAGCTGGTACAGTTCACTGATAATCGTCCCAACACGGGCTGGTGCAAATGTAGATGAAACATAAAATCTATACTTATTACTAGGGTTAGGATGTTTATGACCTTAAAAACACTAAAAAATGAACGCAAATATGCACAATAAATATCAAAATATGCCTTTAAAAAAAATTAAACATGTAATTTTAAAATTTTATTTCAAATCTAAAATGTATTTTAAATTAATTTACAACCTTTTTTATAACTTTAAACTTAAATACAAATATATAAAAATATGATATTTTGAAATTAAAAACATAGGTACTTACAGTAAATTAATATTTAATTAAGTAAGTAATAAAGATAAGTTAATTATATACTACGGGTTTCATATTTTCTCATTTTCGTTAAATGTGAAACCGACTGTGCCTACCCTACCTATGGGTTTGTATTGAGGTTCATATTGTATTTAAGTTATTTTTTTGGCGAAATATGCATTTATTCACAATTTTTTTCAAAATATGCATTTATTCATAAAAATTCCCTAAATATGCAAAAATATGCAAAATAAAATTGAATGTATTTGATTCTATGTCGCATAAAACGAATTTATAACTTGCCTAACTTGGTCTTTAATGTGCAGGACTAGAAGAAAAAATATGCTAAAGTCATAAACATCCTAACCCTACTTATTACTCATGGACATTTTTCTAGGGCGGAGTGCAAAATTAATTTTAAAARTAAATGAAATTTTTTTTATACATTTTATTCATAGTAAATTATTACGTTTCGCCATTATTAGAATTATGAATTAAAACATTACCTACAATTAGGTAGGTATTATTATTACAATTAAAACATTAAAAAACATTATTATAGCAGAATTTTACCAATTGCTGTGGAAATAACATTATTCCAGTGCCCCATCTTGGCCCCCCCTAGGGATGCCYATGTTATTACTGATAATATATAAAGATAATAAAATATTTAATGGGTATTGTCCATCAAGATAGATAAACAATACTAAATACTAATACACAGACTTCTATAATAAGTATAGATGTCTGTGTACTAAAATTGTTTATCTATCTCGATGGTATTGTCATAGAAAAATATGGTATTGTAGTACTTATCATGATAAAAAATATCATGGGTGCATAAAACTGGCGTAGTGCATTTAGTTGAAACATAAACAACTAACCTTGCAGATGGAACATAATGATATGCTGCATTATGCACTGGTGCAGTCAGTGCAGTGTGGTAGAAAACGCYATGAGTATAATATGGTCATTCCGCGGTAGTAATTGATAATAATGATAAGCGACATAATGACGTCATGGACCGCGAATATAAAATACATAATATAAATTATTATACGTCCGTCACAGACTGCTAAAAAATTGTTCAGCCATTCTTATAATATCATAATATTTTTATATGTTAATTTGTGTCATGAATAAATGATTTATATTTTGTATATTTTCTTGTATGCATGGTGCACCGTCGTTAAACGTTATCACTAAATCACTTATTATCAGTCGAGACCTTCAAACGTCGTCACGTCGATGATAAAATATAATTATAATATTGTAATACACTGGATCAAATTAGTGGAGTTACTATGAAAACACTGAAAACAGTCAAATTGCAGACGACAACTTACTTACGATGAATTATGAATAATAATGTTATTATGATTATACAATGCATATCATTATGATTTGTTATGATTATATTGTGATTTCAGAGGCGTGTGCGTTTTGCTAGTAAACAAAATATTACATAATATTATGTTCGACTCGTCTTTGGGTGAACCATCATTTGCAATTGGTTTGTGTTTCCGTTCAGCATATTTATCAGTTGATGACGGCTCAACCGCCGCCGTCGTTCACRTCGCCGAGACCGTTGAATCGCGACACGCATGTTCCTGTTCAACTGCCGTCTCTTGATGTCATGTATGACTGATGTCACCAAATCGACGTACCTGTCATCTAACAAAAGTAAGAGTAACTGGTATCGAGAACTAGAAATTTATAGTATTACTATATATTACTGTTTAGTGTATAGTAATCAGTACCTAATATAATATTCAGTACCTATTATTTAATAATATTATAATATTTTACTCGTGTAGTCGTGTGTTGTCACAGTATCATGCTTTCTGTGCATGCGCTGCAGTGGTCTAAATTTTTTAAATAAAGTTAGTTATATTTTTCGTATAAAATAAAAGTATTACTAAGTACCTAAAGAATTTTATGATTTACAATTTAAACCGTTTAATCCTTTAAAAATATTAATTTTTTCAYACCAGCTTATTAAACAATGCTTTGTTTAGAAACATATTTTACTTTTATTTAAAGATTTTTCCACCAATAATTTAAAGAGTAGTTATTCTTTGTTTTGATCAATTCTTTATATTGATAAAACTCATTTTATCTTCGAGTAGGTACCTTTACTAATATTATATAGTTGTTGTTACCAAAAATATTTGTATTCATTATTGTAACATAATGTTATCTGTATAATTTCTAAATTCAACATAAATATTAATAAACTATCTATAAATATTATACTTCAAAATATTTTAGTACATGACATTTTGAAGTATGTATAATGTATCACTCTTTTATTACATTTTAGATCACAGTTCTTTGCATTGAGTGGTTTTATCGGTGTGCCTAGAGGTACCTGATGTTATAATAACATATCTAATTGTTACCTATATGTTACTACTATATTGTTGTAAAGCCATTTTTTTTTTTTTTTTGAAAGTACAATTCTCAAAAACTATCTATAAATAATATGTTATTATTTTGGTTTGACGTGATTTAATGCATTTACTAGTTAAAGTTTTAAATTTTTCAACATTTTGTTAGGCAGACGTCAAATGCCAAAAGATAATGGTAATAGCTTTAATTTCGGTTTTAATATATTATGTRTAGATTATGATATTTTATAGTTTTCTTTAAAAAATCCATCAATTATTATTATATTGGTTCTTAATTTTAACTAAATTTATTAAGTTAAGATTAAAAATAGAAAATATACTTGAATGTTAAAAAGAATAGAAAAAGTTGACATATGCATAGATAAAGCAATAAAATATACCCAAACTGTATTGGTTCATTGTTGCGATAAAATACTATCCTCTTTCTGTAAACTGTATGTATTCCTATTATTTACTGTGTAGAAACCACCTGGGGTGTAGCTATACCTATTGTTATAAAGTTAGATATACCATAAAGAGTATCATTTTTTCTGAATGAAAAATATTTCTTTTAGGTACCTAGGTCTATGTATAACCAAAATAAATTATTTTTATTTATTTGACAAATTATATTTTTTACTAATACTTGAATTGAATAATTAAAAAAAAAAAATTCATTTAGAGTACAATTGTTGATGTCTCAATTTTTGTGAAATATTTTATTTATAAATGATTTCAATATTGGGCTATAACTTAGGTATCCTACGACTTACGACTTACATTAAATAGAAAACATATACTGTTGTTCAATTAAGTTAATTTAACTATATGAATCATTAAACTACTTTTAAGTATCTATTTGTCCACTTGACCCAGTTAAACTTTTTCTAGGACACTGAGTAATAATGATTTTGTTAAATTAATATTTTAAAATTAAAAGACATTTTTTATTTGATTTAAAATTTAACTGTTTGTGTTATATGTTATTTGTGTATGAAATGTTAGTTCTTTTGAATATTTTTCTGAATACATGGTGATTCACCGAGAATGATCACCCCTCTTTACTCTTTTTATTTTTAATTATGRAGTTATTCAAATTCTGATTTTTAGAAATTTTAAATATACATGTAGAGCATATTTTTGTATACCTGGGATTTTTCATACTACTTAAAGAAAGTTCTTTGTTGAAGCAAATTTTTGTTTTTCTATTGAGAACTTCCCTTTTTTTCTGTAAATAATAGCAGATAATTATTCTAAACATTTTGATATATCTAAAACAAAATTCAAACGAGGGGTTCCTGAAATGTTGTATATTAATTAAGTGGTTAGGTTAGTGGTCCATGATTATAGCCTGGGACTCGGCCATCTCCATATAGTAAAAATTGATGCTGAATTTTTTCTTAAGTATTGCTATTTTAGTTACTTTATAACATTTTTAAAATGACAATTGCTTTGTATTGCCACCTTCATATTTAAATCGAATAATAACCAGCCACTTATTAATAATTTTCTTTTCCAGTTTATTGATTCACTTATCAAACTTTGTTTAGAACTAAAATCATAAACAATGTACTTTTTATTCAAGTTTTAATCCAATTAGTTTCTTAGTTGTGTAATGTATGTCATTCTATTGTAGTATTTTCAACCATTTTGTCAATTAGAATTATTTTTGTTGCAAACTTAGTAAGTCTAGAGTCTAGACGTATCTGGTTATTTTAATAATTTTATTAATATTACATACTAATTTTACAAATCAAGATAACTATATTGCCGTCTTAAGCAAATACACCGTAAGTCCCAAAAAACATAAAAACATATCAATAATTGTAAAATTTGGCTTGTCTAGATGAACATACATTATTGCTATATGTCTGAAATATTACTCCAAAAATATAATATAAGCAATAAACAAATAACTTAAATGCTCTAAATCATACTTTTTAGTATTTACTACATTTTTCTCAAAATCATTTCATAGTGACTTACAGCGTTTTTGTTTACGACAGCAGTATATGTCTTAGGTATTTATTAGTGCTGAGCATTATTTCGATTAATCTGGATTACGGATTATAATTATTTATTCCAAATTTCAGATCAATCCGTTTTATCAAGATTCACGGATGCAATCCTTTGATTCAGATTTTGGTTCTAATCCGGTTCCATTGTTTTTGAGATAATTAGCTATTTTTTAATTTTTTAATAAAATTCATATTTTGTGATTAGTTAAAGAATCATAGTTAAATATTTAAAAAAATAATTATTGTTTTTAAAATGATTAATAATTCAAATTTATATCATAATCCCGATTGGGTATTTTAATCCGTATTAAACGGATTGTAACTCTTGTTTCAATCCAGATCGGTAATTCGTATATGGAAATTGATTTGGATTTGGTGCTCAGCACTTATTTACCAGTGTATCTATCATAATTTTTGACTTTTTGTGTTGTAAGGTGTATCTAATATTGTAATCTGACTTTATGTACCATAATTTGGGAAATAATCATTTGATTTTGGTTTTAGGTACATTAACATTTCTAGCTTAACAATCTGCTCATCAATTTGCAGAAAAAGGAGGGGGGTTCCATTTGAAAAATAAAAGTTTAAAATTACCACAGATCCCACTCTAAGTGGTACAAAAAATTCCAAGTATACGGAAATATGCTATTCATGAACATTTCAAATTTCCAAAAAAAAAGAATCTGAATAACTTCATTATAGAAAGAAAAAAGGGGGCTGAACATCCTTTATGAATCACCCGTGGCCTGTGTATAATATTATATAATTGACTTATTAATATTAAAATTGTTTTATTTTAGATAATGGTATTGTCAAGTCATCCCAGTATTTCACTAATGTAAAGTATCAAAATGGAGCTGTTCATAATGGTCACCTAAAACCATGGAAAAAGAATCTTTACTCTAATGAAGGTTATCCAGATAATTATACTGATAAGTCTTTCCTAGAAGAATTGAGAAAAAACCTCCATGTACGAAAACTTACACTTCTAGAAGCAATATTGGGAGCTGGTTTAATTACACAAAGATTATGCATAGTGGTAATTTTTGCATTATCTTTTTATGCTCTGAATTGCAATTTAATTTCTCCACTATTATTGCTAATTTCTAGTACAAGTTTTAGTTTTATCGTTTACCTCTTTCTTTATGAAAATTCCAAGGCAATTCCATTATGGCTGATGAAGTCAGCATGTGCATTTGTCGTATCTGGTTATATTTTATCACCCGTATTAAAAACATTGACTGAAACTATAAGCACCGACACCATTTATGCCACAACTACAATAATGATGTGTGTACATCTTGTGTTTTTTGACTATGGGGTTTCTGCAGTTATTGTGTCAACATCACTGTCATTAAATGCTGCCTTATTTGGTTCAATTTGTTTGTGCTCAAGACTACAAACAGCTTTTCATGTTTTTGTATTTATAACAATAGCAGTACAGTGTTTTGCTGTATCACCAATACTTTTATCGCCCATCAAATCTTCCATTACCATCTTATTGTCGTTTGTAACTGTTACCTTTGTGTTATGTATGAGGGTGTCATCATTAATGAGTGGACTATTTATACTTACCGTCTTGTTTATTAATTTGATGTGTCCATACTATTTTGTCAAATGGCATTCATTCAAAGACAACATTTATGGACCATGGGATGAAGCTATTGTGCAAGATATTAAAATAAAAGATTTTCACGTTGACTGAAAAGTAATGAGGGTTCTCTAATTAAATACTGTCTAAGAATGTGTGATATCAACAACCAGTAACTGTTATCTTGGTTTTCCATAAAGTTACCATTCTTCTATTATGTATTAAGTTAAAGTAATTTATTATCAATTGAAACTAAATTGTGTTGGTTAATTCTTTAATGGCACTACAKTSGTTGTTTTTCATAATAAATTAAATTAAAAGCATTGCATGTTAAAATTCATTTTTTTAAAGTTTGTTATTCTCTTTTCTTTGTAAAATGTGATGAACATTTTGATTTTAATTATTATATAAATATGAGATCATCTATGTGTTATGCTAATCAAATTTTATTATTTTTTCACTGTATTGTTAAGATTTATCGCCCCAGTGTATAATTCTAATGTTATTAAATACTTAATTATTAATTATTATGCTGTTTGTTCTTTTTACATATTTTATCATCATATGTATTTCATAGTAATGCCAACTCTATAGTATATTTTAATCAGGGGCATGCCTACGCATTTTTCTGGGGGAAAGAGGTTTAATTTTTTTTCTAGAACATATTTCAAATGTATTTATTCCATTAGCTAATACTTTTTTCTAAATCCATTAAAATTTTGTGGTTTGAACACCCCTATCTTCCTTAGGCACACCTCCGAGTTTCATAATAATAAATTATGAATGATGACTCAATTGTTTTTTGTCATAATATACTCATATTCCTAAAATCTGTTAGCCATGTCACAACTTTTTAATGAAGATTGAATTTGTAATGATTACTATTAGACATTTAAAAAACTTTAATTTTACTTTAAGTTAATTTTGTGTGGTAAAAGGTAAAACTACTTCTTTATTCAAAATTATAGTAGGCACTACAATTTAGTACATTATTCACGGGACTCAGAGTCATGTGTGAGAGTGTGAAAATGTGACATAAGTTTGRAGTCTTTCTTTAAATTTTAGATAAATCGTGATTTTTATAAATTTACTTATACAGATATTTCCTATATATTTACACAAATCAGATTAAAATGTATCAGTATTCATTACCTTYGAGGTTTCATAAAACAATTCATTACACTTTGTTTGGTTATTGTTCCATGCATTGTATTATAAGACACACACATGATCATTATAATTTTCAGAAGTTTTAATATACATAATATATTATGTTCTATTAAAATATTTACTTTTTAGTTAGAAAAAATCACTTTTCCATTTTCTAATAGTAATGCAATTAAAACATAATGTTGTTACTATTTCATACATTTTATGATTAGGGATGGCAAAACTAATTGATTGATTGCTGTATGCTAATTATTTTTTTAAGAACACAAGTAAAAACATTATTTGAGTTTATTTGGTTTGATTATAATTGCATGTTTTTTTATTTTCATTATAAATATTATTATAACAATAATTCTTAAGAACATATTCTAAGTACAAATACTTCATAACATTTAAATTGATTTGTATAGTATAATATAGGTGTGTCTTACTAAGATAACTACTAAACTATGTGAATAAAGTTTTTAAAAAAAACAATTATTTTCAAATGTTCTATGTAGATGTAATTGTGTTAAAACAAAATATGTAATGTAGGTAATTTTTAAGTATACTGGATACTAATGGCGGCAATAACTGTCATTGGTTTCTTGACCATCTGTGATGTAAAAGGTACCTATATATGTTAAGTTACATGTTTTTTTATCTCAAATGATCTCTACAAAAATGTTGCTCATTTGATCCACAGAAATGTAGGAAAAAACAATATATTCTACAGTAATACATATAGTACATGATAATATAAACATTATTTAAAATACTTTTCTCATTTAACTTGCTTTCAGTGAGATTTTTGAGCATTAGGTATATAGATAAGTTTGCAGGTCACTCATAATTCTAAATTTTGTATTTCACATGGTAAAGGTTTAAAATTTCAAAAAAATATAAATACTAATTCATTCTAAATCTGACACTGGTTGCCTACTGTTATGATAATTCACAGCAACAGTATTGTATTACATTTAAAATAAACAGGCACTCCCCATATCTAATCGCTTCACCCATGCCATTATCTAAATAGGTACATATAATTGGATTGTTTTGGTGGAAGGGTGGATCCAGGAGAATCACTGGTGGCAAGTTCTCCCCATTAAAAATATATATTTTAATTATAGTATTAWTTTTCCATTAACTAATAAATATCAGCATCGTAAAGATGTTTTTRATTTAAGTGCTCTCTAATTATACAAATTCTGGATCTACCCTTKGGGGGTTGGCGGTAAGTCGTGACCTAAWACCACGGCCCACGCTTAATATGCCTTATTTATTTTATATTTCAATAACAATGATYTGTTATTTCCATATGATTTGCTAATCGTATAAAATAATTCAGATTGTCCAATGCGTATATACACATATCACTGCCAGTGTGTAAAGTAGGTAGTTATAATGAAATAGGTATAATATAAGAATAGGTATTTACTATTTAGAATAATTATAGTTGCTTAACCATATTCACTATTGTTTTACACACATATATATATTTATATACGTGCATGTAATTATTCCTAATTATGTATTAAATTTTTTTTTTATTTCATGTCGTTGATTCAGATGTTTGTTATCTATTTAGTATTTATATATTTTCGTTCTAGCTAAATAATTATATTTATATTTATCACCTATAATACATTATGTTATGCAGTATTGCAGTGTACCTACACGTCCTACACATACACTATACACGCCAATCAAAATTATTCACGATCATTGAATAATAATGTACATTATTGTAAATCTTAGTACGCATTATGTATTTATGTGTTATGATTAATGTTTATGTATAATATGTTATAGTCATTAATTATTGCGTGTGTATAAAATTTTGTATTATTTTTTATCTATAACGATCGTCACGTGATATTAAGTAAGACACATGCTTGTATTAATAATAATGATGATATAGGTATACTTACCTATCATGTCTGCACGTTCATAACTTCATACAAACATTTGTGTATACGCTCTTTAGTGTTGTGTATTCGTGTTTGACCAAACTCCCAACCATTTATCCGTCATATAAAATAGTATAGCAGTATTATGATGGGATTAAACATTATAATACGACTAACGAATAACTATAAGTTTTCCTATATAATTTAACATTCTATTGACAATGATATTATATTTGTAACTGAAAATTCAGTCTTTTATTTTGTAGCCAAAGAATTTATATAAAATGTTTGTTAAATGTATGATTATTAATCGCCTATTATTTTATTTATAAATTGTTGCAAAATAAATATTTAAATTCAATATTATGTGACGTTTTAATTATTTTTGCTTAGGTACTTTATTACATAATTTGTGCGTGTTGTAGGTATTAATGATTTACAAAACAGTAACTAGGTAGTGTTGTTTTTTTTTCTGAAAGTAAAGTTTTTAATCAAAATGTAGCCAAGTTCCAAAMACTCAGTGGTTCATATAAATTGTCAAACCGAGGTATAAATCCAATAAAATAATAATATTTAATAATTTATCACGTTTTTCAATTAATGATTGGTTAGAGTCTGTGCACTCGAGAAAATCGTTGACAAAAATGTTGAGAAGATGCTACATGTTGTGTTGTCTCCGTCTTACAGTTGATCTATAAAACACCAAAAAATATTTAACGCGCGAGATATAACCACTTAGGTCTTAGGCTATAGTRAATAGTGATACTYAAGACTCCAATCTTACATACCTATTGTATTTATGATATAAATAATAAATAATGTAAGTAAGCATTTGTTTGTAGTTGAGAAAATTATCTGTAAAGTGTGATTTTGATTTTTTTAAATCACTTATATAAAAATAAAATGTTATTATTGTTTCCAAATCAATTATTTTTGTGATTTTTTAACTCTGATAACTTGTATAAGCTCCGATATCGAAAAAATAAAAATTATATTTCACAGTTAAAGTTCTCCTTTTTATGTGGTAGACATACATTACATTAAAAAACTACCACAATATCTGAATGATTATATTTCGTTTTAGAGATACACACTCAAATTAATTGACTTATTTACTATAGTTACTACCTATATATACTTAAACATATTTTTTTAAATCTCAAAAACATTGCATTTTTTTATTATTGTTATTAAACTTTTTAGTAAACATACCGTCCGAATCGTAGAACTGTGTGAATAGGTTCATGATACATATGTTAAGGTACGTGACCGCATTGCAATGAATGTTGAAAGTCACCGGTGTATGTTGACTTTTACTGTTCATTTTGATTCAAATGTTATCAATTGTTTCAAATATCTCACAATGTAAACATTTACCAGTGTTTTTTTTTTTTTTTTTATTTATCAAAGTATATCGACAACTAGGCCATTAGTAGAATAATTTTTTTTTTGTTACATTTTTAGTATTTTAAGTATACATTTTCTACTTTTCTAGATTAAATTAAATTGTACAATTCTGTACTTTTTAAGAATAAAATTAAGTTTTTTACATCCTTTGGGTTGGGTCCAAGTGCTTGACAGATTTGTTCGGATATGTGAAATTGATTTCGATACTGGTTGTATTTTTGACATTCRGTGWTRATGTGGTTGACGGYTAAAAGTACGCTGCATGACTCACATAGTGGAGGATCGTCTTTACTCATCAARTAGCTGTGTGTTAAGTGTGTGTGACCAATTCGGAGGCGGTTTATTATGATTTCATCTTTTCTATTGAGTTCAGGATTTTTCCATGGGCTTATATTATTTTTTATTTTGTTGAGTTTGGTGTTGAGTTTTCGCCAGTGAGAGAGCCATTTATTATTTGAGTGTAGGTTTATTTCGTTCTTTGCATCTGCAGATGTGATGGAATTTATGGTTGGAGTTGATGTAKAGACGATTGCATTATAAGCTTCTTGGTCAGCCATTGCATTTCCGGGAATGCCTATGTGCCCCGGGATCCATACAAAATGAATATGTTTATTTTTTTTCCTGCAAGAAAAGTTTCCTCTTGGATGAGCTTTGTGATATCTGGTTGCTATTACCAGTGTTTGTTGATATGTGCGATAATTATTTATTAAATGTTGACATGACTGACAATATATATAATCGAATAGATAGCCAGATAGGTAAGAATTTCATTAATAAATATAGTTTAACAAAGTAATTTTTTAATATATAGTTTAGGTGGTATATATTTTTTTGAGTTTTATTTATCACAACAAAGCTATCGTGGTATTTACTGTTACAGAGTATTCCCTCATTCGTTGCAATTAAATTTTTTTGTATAGCAATTTTTTTTACAATTGCATCGTTTATTATAACGTTGACCACCACTTTTGGAAGCAGCTGTCGATACCTTTCTCAAAGACATTGTCTTATCGGATAAAACGTCGTTTAATGATATCAATTTTTCTTTGCACGCTGCGTCACTGCAAATTTATTTCGAGTGTACCTACAGCTGACTGATGATCCAATATTTTGTTCCTAATTTGTAGAAGTCATTATCAACGTCCATTACAACTGCCAAGATATTTTGGTAATCCATACGTCTTCGATCGATATCCGGGACTTGCACTCGAACAGTATCACTCACTTGAGCAGACGGACATTTTTGGTTCAACGATCGCAGCATTAATACACTTGCTTGTTTTGAAGTTAATTTAGTTTCAATAATCTATTCTTAATTGTATTATGCTTCCTTTCATTTATATCTTTTAAATACAAAATATTTGTTTAAATTATTTTTATAATTGCTATTATTATTTTGAATTAATTAATAATTTATTTTGGTTTTTGTCGTCATTTTTATCACCGAGCTCATTTCATCATTATTTGCTTGATTGTCAAGGTTATCRTCACTTTTACCGTTAGACTCTTCCTATACTTTAGTCTCATCACTTCCTTTATTTTTTGGATCAGTTTGAGGGGCTGTTAAAAAAAAGTTGTTTTCTTAACTGAATAATAAAATGCATATTATTATTACAGTAGCGGCTAGTCGTAATTTTATATGGTTGTGCTATAAACTATATATACATTTATCGATCGCACCTTATCACGAGCCGCCACTGCTTATTAATATTTTTATTTTATATTTTTTAATTTATACTTAATTATAGACTGAAGTATTTGTTCTAACTCCTCTTCTGTTGCTAAATTTTCTATTTGTTTTCGCGAAACAGAAGATGTCAAACGACCTTTTTGTGCTTTAGTGCCAAACATATGGTATGGTAAAATTACTAACGTCCAAACGTCTCCAATGAATATTGTGACTGGGCTATAACGTCTTCATTTTACAAAATAATACAATAATACTTTTTACATACAACATACATCGTATTTCAAGCGTGGTCAACATTTTCCAAGCACCGATTGTAAATTGTAAATGTCAACAATCACCGGTGATTGTCAACATTCGCTTACTGTGGTTATACACTTTAATAACATACATATCCAATCATTTCTACAAATTACCTAATCGAGTGTAGGTTAGGTTATGTTGCTAAAAATCCCGGATGGGTGACCATCCGGGAACAAGCAACTGTGGCTGGTACGTATGCTCAGTGCGTTTCCGCAGATTGAGTGTACGATCGCGCCTCACCATATAATATATTATTGTTAATATTTGTTTCCTTTTGATCTTTGAGTCAATACCGGCTTACCTCTGAACATTATGAATTTAGGTTCACCCTTTCGTGTGATGGGTATAAATAAGCAATAGCTTAAAATCAACTTAATTATTCTGAAAATGTCATTGTGTAGGTATATTAAATATAATTATTTAAAGYTCCCTCTCACAATATTCGTAATCACATTCCTTTTTATATTGCCAATCATTCTACTTCCTTCAGCCACAACCACTCCATGCACAGAATTCTTCGGTCTGCCAATTTAGTTTGATCTTCGCCTCATTTTGATATTACTTTACCTATAGTTATATATTTTAACACTTATTACTATTAACTATAGTCATAAAATATTATTGTTATCATATTATATTATATTTATATTTAACTCTTTGTAACATCGGATCCGATTGGCGTATATACATAAAATAAATAAATAATGATATAAACCTACGTAAAAATTGCCAGTTCCAGCAAATAATATAATACCTACAATTCTGTCAAAATTGTTATTTCAAAGTCATGATCACGTGGTGCAAATAATAATTATCCGTGTATATTTTTTAAATTCAGTAAGAAGAACAACTTAAATTGTGTATTACATTTCCACGCTTTTAGACCGAGCCTAAAAATTATTATTAACAGAAAAAAAACCTCTAAATACCCCATAATATCTATGAAAATCTTATGTCGAGTCTAAATATTAAAAAAAATTAATTGGGCATAGAAAATGTTAATTTAAGTAAAATTGAGATGTTTCAAGTTTCTATAATTATATCCATATTATCTTTTTTTAAAGTATAACGATTATTATATGAAACTGAAACTAAATTTAAACCTAACGTCCCTAACCTGTATATTTCTCTAATTGCGATACTACAATGGTTACAATAGCCTTGCTTAAAATCGGATTTTGATAATTAACATTTAGCCTATAACTTACCTATGTATATATATATAAGGATCCTTAAAACTAGTTTACTAAGTATATAATATGTTAATACAATTATCCATATTTGTTTGATACAAAGATTGAAATATGTACAATATTTTCATAAGATAATGTTTTTTTATAAATTATAAATTAATATAATAAACAGCAACCTACGACCTACCTATTTGTGATATTATTAAAATCACTACCGTGTTCGCTTAAATGAGCAATTCTCAAATGCGCGTCTATGACGTTATAATGTGTACACGGAACATAGACACACAAATTTATTGTGTAGGTTTTTACCTCTTAAATCTTTTAGATTGAGTTATCTCCCGCTTGTCTATTCATAACTAAAACATAATACAGTGCGAATATTATATAACAGGTACATAAATAATTAATACACGTAATTTATGTTACACTTAAAATAACTTTATTTTTATATTACGTTTAATATAATAGAGGATAAACGTCTACTACATTATTGGGAATCGTAATGTTCTAGTACCTATTTATATAAATGTTGATTTTTTTCTTTTTAAACGTGGCAAAAGCTAAATAATATTATGTCAACACATGGACATTACATATCATTATTATTATTATATTGTATGTTTTACGTACGATAATTTTAATTCAAGAAACACACAYATAGTTATTGTCTTATAATTTGAGAAATTCCAATAAAAAGGTTTTTTCAATTATTGTACTTGCTACTCATTAGGTATATATCGTGCACAATATTCATAGCGATGTCTCGTCACTACAATGATGTGCAGCTGCCATACCGGACGAGTGGTGAATATTATTGTTATGTTTGATACAACAAGGTAAATATTATAAGGTATGACATTATATTAATAATATATATTATTATGTATTATTATATTAATTAAAACATTACGTTCGTATAATATTATTATATGTATACGTTGGCGAAGCGTGTAACTTAGTTTTAGATTAAATTTTATTTGTCGCTAAATGAGGGTACTGTCTGCGCAACAATATGTTGTCCACGGCCGGCAGTAGTAGATACCTCTTGGTCTTCATCCCGTAGTCGTCTGTTTGCGCCTGTTCTGTTGCTGCCGACGACTGCTGGTGGTCCCACCCGAGTTCTTCAAATGACCGCTCAGTATTCTCGACGTTCCCGCTAAAAACCATACAAAACAACCATCACGTCGAAACGTAGATAACAAAAAATCGGTATAAGTTAACAGGTATATTGTTAAATGATTAGTGTGTATGAAATAATCCCGTAAAAACATCCAACAGGATATAAAAATAACCCATCGTATCTAATAAAGGCTATCAAGACGAATTAAAGGTCTCCACATTCCTTTTAACTTTTACTTTACCTAATAAATCGTTTTACACRCACATATAAATATTAAGTCTAAAATATAAAATGCTTAAATTATGTTAGCGGATATCATGAAAATGTCTGCTGAAGCTTAGCTAGAAACGTTAAACCAAAAATACTTGCACCTAGTTCTAAAACAAAATTGAGACATTTTAGTAAAATAAAAACAGGGTAAGTATCATAGGTAACCACTTAGCTATGAAGTAGGAGTAGATTGTATCTTGTCGTCGAGAATAAAAATAATCGACAAAATAAAAATAAAAATTATTCGTTAATAATTGAAAAAACATCGAACATTTTTCATAGATATAAATTCAAAAAGAACCAAAATATATTTTAAAATTTCATCACGCATGGAAAATTTTCAAATTAACATATTTAGAACATTTTAGTATTTTCAGACCATAATTATTAGTTTTCGAGTTAAATCAAAAAACGTAAACAGTTTTACGTAAAAACCCAGTTTATCCTCAATTTATTTTTGGTTTTTTCCAACGCTTTTAAAAATTATAAGGCATTATTTTAATTTTGACCTCCCCCAAGACACTAGATTTACTTTCCTACTATAAAAAGATGCTGAAATAGAAAATTGAACCAATTGAAGCACTATTATTTCYCTAAAAGTTGATATAAGAAACTAAAAAATAAATTATCATTGTAAAATCAATACACTCATCGCTCCGCTCAAACCTAAAATTTAAATTGAAAAATTAAAGCTAAAATTCATAAAAATGTAAGGTTATAAGATTTAGTTGAGTTTTAGGCGCTTATTCATAAACGACCATACTAAAAAGTTAAAAAAAACACAAATCATTTGAGGGCAATTGAAGAAGTAATACTTATATTGATAGAATTGTTTTTAATTTAACTTCTGTCAACCATGAAAATAAATTTAGTTGTTTTTTTGTTTTTAATTGGATTTGAATTGATAAATAATAAAAAAATTATTAAAAAGTATTATTCTTGACGTASTGTATGAGAATTTTGTCGAGAGCAGCGTCGTAACCTACTATTCCCCTCTCCAATTTTTACTCCGCTTTTCTTTTATTTAAGCTTCAAATGATAATATCTTACTTTTTTAGTACCTATCTATTTAATATGATTCTTCGAAATAATATTTCCATGCTCAGAAGTGTTCATAAATATCAGCTTAATAAATAATCTGTATCTTAAAATGTATATAACATATAATCACTCGTTTGTATATTGCTCTATACAAAAGAAAGTTTTTAAACGTTTTTTTTTTTTTATTACATAAACATGTTGTATAATATTATAATATAAATTCTTAAACCTTAAGTACCTACCTGCGTAATTTTATCATTATTTTTACTAAACGACAAGAGATAATAAAATCCCCATTCGGAACACCATGTTTTACAGGTTTTCGTCTAAAAATTCAAAACAATTCTTAAACCGATGAGGGTTAAAGTAATTACCCAATAAGCAGCTTATATTTTTAATTACGAATACGTTTTTATTTTGCCCGAGGTGAATATATCATTTACAAAATAAAATAAACTATCAATCGTCACAAGTGCTATTCCAARAAATGTAATCTTTTATGCACAGTAAGTGAACATAATGTACCTATTCAATTAATATTTAATTACTCAAACATTATYAATGTGTTAATCGTGAAATATTTTCATTGCAAATCATTAGTATTTACTATTTAGTATATTATACATTAAGCATTGTGTGAATTATTATGATAAACGTTATTCCGCATGTTTAGTTTAAAATCAGTCGGCATCACATCTTTTTCAGTGAATTGTTGGCCTTTACATTTCAATTATTGTTTATCAGCTGATATTTTTATTGTAGCTTGTAGGTACTCTGTTTCTCTAATATGACGTAGACGTATTTATTATATTAATTTCTCCTATTAAAGTATGCAAGCATTTGATAGATTTAAGTTTTTCGACTAAAATACTGTACCACACAAAATAATAAATAATATTAATGTGTAAAATCATAGATGTCATGCAAACTTGGCATATTTTGAGGAAACATATTTTCATTAGTTGCAGAATATTTAAGCTGAAACTTTTAAACAGACTTCAGATTCTTTTATAACACAAAGCCATTATTTAATCATACATTTTTTTGCACGATCAGTATGATATTTATTATTTTCTATACGGATTTTGAATTTTGAGTTGTGTATGTGTGTTTTTTTAAATGCAGTTAAAATGGAGTTATTAGACAATAATATATATTCAAATTACTGTCATAAAAATTGCTATGCAAGCAGTAAGAAGAAAAT